TCCTGGTGGGTATTTTTCCCATGAACAATAAATATTGCCTGAGGGGAGAGAGAGAGAGAGAGAGAGAGAGAGAGAGAGAGAGAGAGAATGTACATATACAGAATGATTATATGCAAGCTAAATGATAGAATTTATTCCTTAAAAATAGCTAATGGGAAAGAATTTAGCAGATGACTTTCTAATCCATACTGTATTTAATTGGCTGTATTGAACCATAGTACAAATTAAGTCTTCTCTGTAATTTATTCTGTCAGACAGTAGCCCCCCAAACAATTTGATACTTCATTTAAACATTGTTAAATGGCTCATGGAAATGCAAAGAAAAAGATTTAATGATGCTAAGAACCCCTCTGTTCACAGAATGAATCCTATGTGAAATGTCGTGAATTAACCCAATGCATCCATTCCATGAGAATTTATTGAGTACCTACCCTGAGAGGTACGAATCCAAGATGGCGTGGCCTGCCTGCCCTTCCTCTCCTTCAGTACTCATTATGTGTCACTTACTGTGCCAGGGAAAGCCTGTTAGGAACTGAAGAGAACCCACCAACGTGTAATGTTTCCTGGAGATTTAACAATCCCAAAGCAGACTGGAAAGGAGAGCCTGTACTTAGGATCTAGGTGTGTTCATAACACAACCATTGCCCTACTCTTCGGGGAACTGCCCATTTATCCTTCAAGACTTAGATTGAGTTCACAGCCTTTTGTCGAGGCTTCCCCATGCCCCTTCCCTGGTTCTGTTCCCAGCCTGTGTAACATGCATTTAGTTTAAGTCTTGCCATGCTGTTTTGTACTTTTAGGTTTTGTCACATGCCTATGTTATGAGACCTTAAGATTCTTGAGGAAGAGATGATGTTTTCATCATTTGCATAGGTATATAGCATGGGACCAGATCATAGAAAACCCTCAATACAACCATGATGTGAATCCCTGGATGAATAGAGAGATTTGGGGCAAAACAAATCAAAGAAACTTACATGGAAGGGCAAATGTGATGCTATGGGGTATAGGGGGGAATTAGTAATGGGAAATGAAGGAGTTAGGGAAGGTTCCTTCATGAACAAGATACTACAACTAGACTTTAAGCTTGGGTGCAATATCTCTGTACATAGTTGCATATATAGCTGATGACACACAGGGAGAGAAAAAGCAAGAGTGATCCACAGTGAAAAGCCACATGAGCAATGGTAGAGAGGTGGGAAGGTACACACTCCAGCGAGAGGCAGAGGGGAAGCTCCTTGGGCTATTTGTATGCCAGGGCACCTGAAGTTCATGTGGATGATGGGATCACACTGAATTGAGCATGTGGATGTCTGGATGACCCACAGTGTAGGTAAGTGGGTGCAGAATAAGGGGGCCTGAAAGCCCTGGTTTCAAGACCAACAACTGCTTTAATACTAAGTCTCTCTGAGGCACTGTTTTCAATGAGAAATAACAGGCTGGGCATGAATAGAGTGTGCCTTTCTCCACCATCACCCTCCCACTCAGGTCACATTTTCTCTGGCTGGTCAACCTCTGCAGCCTCCGGAATAATCTGCCATGGCCCAAGATTCCATACAGAAGCACGCTCTGTAGGTGAAGCTATCCTTGTCACCCATGACCAATGGTAGCCTCTCTTTGCCATTTTGGTTCTGCAGATACCATACAAAGAAAAGTCAGATGTCATGACCTGGAAATGATTCGTAAGAATTAGAAGTAAACTTCCAACTTATGCTTCCTCGACTGTTTTCTCTGTGACTCCTGTAATTCACCTCTATATGTTTTGATTTATTTCCATCTCTGATCTCGGGAACTTGTCAGAACTACAGAAATCTCCATTCCTTCTTCCTATCCAGTTCTTTGTTTCATTCCCTTTCTCCTCCCTATTCATGAGTTTCAGCTTTTGCTTGTTGAACTAAAGAACCTGGAAAAGAGAAAAGAGACCTAGTTTCTATACAACCCTGTTCTTGTCATCAGTGCTTTATATCCCTGGGCAAGAAAGACAAGTCCATGTATAGCACTGCCTAGGACAGTACAGTCTCTGGCCTTTGGTCTCTTCATGAATAAACTCATAGCCAAGCTATGTAATGTTTAAGATACCTCCTGACTCGAAGTACCTTTGGTTGTGTTGTGCAGTAAAAACTCTACTTGACAATGAAGGTCAATTTCTAGGCTCAGTGACCAAACATTTATGATACTCTAAGCTGCTGAAATGAATGTGGTAACACACTGTAGTATTAACCAATTCCTAATGTGTATTTATTTCCCTGTGTCTATATTGTGTCTGCATAGTGGAAGGTGGAGGAATAGAGACATATCCCCTTGGTGACAGTTAGTTTTCAAGTGAATGAGACACTTGGAGAGCACTGCTTTTGAACATGTCATAAAATTAACTGCGGGGAGAGATAATGTTACAAATGTCTTTAAGTACGTTGTGCACATGCACTCACATAGCTAACACTTTGCAAAGCAATATTAGGTATCATCAGGCATTAAGAATGTTTTGATTTTAAAATACTTAATGAGGATTCGTAGATAAATTAAAACATCTCCATCTGCTGTCTTCATGGTAGGTGATATTTTACCATTGCACAGTCATCTCTAAATCTAATTCCACCAGGAAGACTTCTAATCGCTGTTTAATTTTAGAGCAATAATCTGCTTGGCAATCAATAAGGCAGTGTCGTCAAACTTGGATTTAATAGGAGACATGGATTGCATCCTCTACATTATGCAGTGAAAGAAATACTTTCAGGAAAAGGAGAGAAGAGAAAAATGTCTTTGTCTCCCATTTTCCCTTGCCACATACTATTGTAGCGCACAAAAGCTTATAAATCAATGCCCTGTGTTGCGTGAATATAAATCTCATCAATTTTACATCATTAACACCCTGAAAAAGCTACCACTCTCAGAGCAATTTTCCTCTGCTAGCTAAATCTGTCCTTTTGATGAAACAAAACAAGCAGATTCTGATTGTTTTGCTAACAAACCCTTCCTCCACCAACTTTAATCATGCCAAAATCCACTCAAAGTATAAAGTTGCCATGTTGCCAGTTGAGGGCCTAAGGGCGTGAGGCAGTGATAACATTCTGCTATACAAGGAGCAATGGGACTCTAGAAAGAGGATGAAGCAGAAGGGAAAGCTCTAAGGGTCATCAGAAAGGCAAATAGAAGTTGCAGCCTGGCAGATGAAGGCAAGGCAGAACATTCTAGAACAGCAGATGATTCACATGGTCAGAAGCCTGGTCAAACAAGAGGCTGAGGAACTGACATTTTGTGAGGTTGGTGATCTCTACAACTAAGGTGATGACCATCATAAGAACCAGAGTCACTGAGTGATGAGATCCTGGTGGCTTCTAAGGAACAGGAAACATTAGAGAACATCTAACCTCATGGTTGTGGAGGTTTTCATAGCAAGAGCTGCCTGTGCTTGTCTGTATTTCTCCCTCCCTCCTGGTATTCAGGAATAGGAAAGATTTTGTGCATCATACATGCACAAACTCATGCGTTTTTATTCTTGAACTATGTGAACCATAACCACTTGTTCAAACATAAGCTAGGGAAACTAGCAGCAATAAGCAGATATAATTCTAAACAAACAGTTGGATGCAAAACAACATGGATTTATTATAAGTTTATGACTTTTAACAACAAGCCCACAGACAGCATCATTTTAAAGAGAGAGGGGAGAACTCAAAGCGTTTCCACTAAAATCAGAACAAGACAAGAAGGTCTACCCTCCCCATATCTGTTCAATATAGTACTGAAGTCCTTTTAGATTTTTGAAATTTGCCTTTTCATTGCCTTTATTGATCCCTGTAGAGCCAGGACTTTTGAATTAGGAGCCTTTGGTCTGGTTTTTTAGGGGAACAAACTGTGGTACAGAGAGGACTAGTGGGTGGTTTGCATTAGTACAATGGCTGGAATTTTTTATGTAGGGAAAAGGCTCTTTGTAAAGATTCTGGGCTGACCACCAGCAACTTTTTGGCTCTGTAAGCCTTTAAAGAATATTAATTAAGATGATATATAGGATTATTATAGGAAAATAACCATAAAGATCTCCATCGCCTACTAGGATGGGAAACTTTGATTTTGTGGCAGCTTGGATAACAAAAACAGAAAGGTCAATTTCAAATTACTGAGCATCAACCAGGTTGTTTCAGTTCAACAAAGTGGATGGAGCACAGGGCATGGCTGAGAGATGGCAGAGGTTAGGAAGAGAGAGTCTAGTATGGAAAAAAGACCAGGAGTCAGGCAAACTTAGCAGAGCAAAATCTGTTAGCGTCTGTGTAAAAGGGATCCATCAAGCGTTTGAAGGGACTATTCCAGTAGGGAGAGGGAAGGCTAGCCCCATTGGGGGCTGTTTAACAGACATGGTGCCATTTCATGCAGCCATCAAAGGCACTTTTCAAGAAGGTGATGAGACCAGACACTGCAGACAGAGGGATTCAACCAATAAAAAGGACATGTGTGTGTCCCCTCCTTTACCCACAATGGTGACTTTGAAAAAGAATAAAGAAAGTCTTTCATCCCCAACATAGGTTTCACCTACTGCTGGGAAAACTCAGTAACCCTGCAAAACTAGAGGACTGTGAAGTTCACAGCACCCCCCTGGAGTTGTTCAAGGGACAGCCTCTCCCACTGCATGCAAATGCCTGGGTCCGAAAGAGTGTTTGTTATCAAGACAGATTGTACCGGGCTGCTCTGGGAAGGCTGCAAGCAGAAAGAAGCACGTGGGATGAGTTAGACTGAGAAGCTTTGGCGGGTGGTATGAAGCCACCTTTGCAGATGCTCACTCTCATATGAACAGCCCGGGTGTATCTCTGGTCACAGCATTGAGGCCATGAAGGGAGACCTCCTTTTCTCAAGGGCAGCTACTGCTCTTTTTCCTTCCATCTGTACCAAACAGCTTTCCCAAAGCCCCTTGGGCCTTTCACACATGGCAGAAACATCTCTCTTATTCATCAACAGCTCGAGGGGTGTGTTCCCTGAAACATGCTCTTCCTTTTGTGTGTTCCCAGGCCCTTCAGCATCACCATGCTGTTCATGAAATTTCCTACATTGCGAAGGACATCACGGATCACCGGGCTTTTGGATACGTTTGTGGGAAGGAAGGGAATCACAGATTTGTGGCCATCAAAACAGCCCAGGCGGTAAGTGTTTTCCTTGTAACTGTGCAGGACAGAGCTAACACTGTTGATTTTTGAAGGCCCAGACTGACCAAATGATGTGCCATCCCCCAGTAGCTGATGCGAAGAATCCCACCTAGGAAAGATAAACAGCCTTGAAGCAAAGAAACGTGGTCATACCCGTTTGAGTATTTTTTTTTTAATCCTAATGGGTATTTCCTAATGACTAATTATTTTCCCTTTCTGATGGAGCTAGATAGAGACACGTATACAAATAAATTTCCTTGTGTTCATAGCCTCATTTAAAAAGAAAATAAGAGAAAACAAATAGCTGTTTTGCATATGGCCTGCCCTAATTTTATTGTATTCGGAATCACTAATAAATAAAAGCAATGCCTTTTATGCTTATGATTATTATGAATTTGCAAATATAATTAGTTGAAGAAATGAACTTTAGCCTAGAAGCAATTTGCTAAACCAATATAAACAAGGTAGAATTAATTAAGAATGGAATGCTTTCAGTTTAATAGAAAAAGGAAGGGCTGTGGGTTGGAGCCACAAACAGAAATTAGTAGCTGCAGTTCTTTATTAACGTGTCTCACCACCTTTCACTCCAGGCTGAACCTGTGATTCTGGACTTGAGAGATCTCTTTCAACTCATTTATGAACTGAAGCAAAGAGAAGAATTGGAAAAAAAGGCACAAAAGGATAAGCAGTGTGAACAAGCTGTGTACCAGGTATGCCTATACGTTTCTCCCAGTGCTGCAGAAGACAGGGCCCACAATAAACAGATGGGAAACTGACAAGTCGGGCTGTTTCCTGCTGCTGTGCAGAAATAAACAGAGATGAAAGGTTCCTGTGTAGGTTACAGGCATCCGAACCAAGCCATTAAAGTGATCCTTCTTTCTTTTCTTTTTTTCCCTGAGACTTGAGATAGGCTAGAGAAAGGGGAATCTTTAATCTAGGGGAAGATTTCAGGGGAGGGAGGAAGACTAAAGGCCCATAGCAGCTTTGCTAGCTTTGCTGTTGTTAATACAGGGAGTGGATGGGGAGGGAGCTGCGGGGTTTGGAATTTCTTTGTGTATTTTCTGCATTAATGGCCTCCTAGCCTATCCTAATCAATGCTGACTTCTCCACTGTGCTGTGTTATCTGAAGATAATCTCACGTCTCTTCCTTTGTATCCTTTGCTTTCACCCTCCCTTCCCTCACTGGGATAGACAATTTTGGAAGAGGATGTTGAAGATCCCGTGTACCAGGTAATTTCTGAACCACATCGGGATTTTTGCATGCAGTTGTGCCCATGGTAAGGACATTTGAACTGAAAGCTGAGGAATCTGTTGAATGCAGAAGGTTGAGATGATTTCCCAGGTCAGGGTTGCAGAGAGAGAATTTCCACACTAAGAGAAGTTTAGCCACCACTAGATTCTGCAGCACAGAAGTTCTGGAAATCCACTTCCTTCTTCATGTCCCTGCCTCAGACCCCTCCATCGTCTGGAAAAGTTTGATCCCAGAAATGAATGTTTTCCAGGGGTCTCTTGTAACTGTGCAGGACAGAGCTAACATTTGATTTTCCAAGGTCCAGACTGACCAAATGATGTGCCACCCCCATCTTGTCATTAGAGGCAAGAGGGATACTGAAATGGGCTCTATGAGCTAAGAATTAGGGTTGAAGGGATGACATTTGGGTGACATTTGAGTACAACCCTAAAGAATGGGTTTCAGGGATGTAAGAATATCCTTGAAGCCTTTATAATGTAGGCTAACCCTCTGATTATTTAGCTCATGGCATAGAGCTGCTGTGAAGTAAGAGAGAGGATCCTGAGACATCTCTGTTCAGGGCTTCCTCTGTACTGTCTTCCTGGTCTACAGCACCGGGGTGGATAATGACCTCTCTTGGGGTCAAATCCAAGGTCTGTGCAAATAGTAATTCAGAAAGGAAAAAGTGGGTTTTTCCCCTCCTGTGCTTCTTTCTAAGGAGGAAAAAGTAGACCAAAAAATTATACTCACATTTTAAAAATATAAGCAAACCTCCAACTTACATTTCTAACCAGGATACATAGGTTAGGTGAGGTTTGAGCCTGTGTTATAAATTATGCTTAGAAAACCAAACAGATAGGTGTCAAAGTACCTACAGATCTGTGGTAAAAACAAGTCAGTGATGCATCACGGAACACACCCTTGCCTTTGAGGGATGAAGAGGAAGAACTTGCATATAGCAGGAGCTTCCACCTCTGACCAATGGGCTCATAGAAAATGACGGTGGTGGTCTTTTAGAAATGCTCCAGCCCTTTAAGTTTGAAATGTGCTCATAGAAAAGTTAACATCCAGTATTCTAAAGGCTAAGATTGTGTTTGTGGGATCAGAGAGTTTGGGGCTTCTGGGCCCTTTGAGCATTGGCCCAGGATCTTAGGAAGGAAATGGGACTGTAAAAAGTGAAGTTTGCAGGATGTCCCCATGACACCACAGCATCATTCTGTTCAGCCGCCGCACAACAAAATACCACTGAATGAAGACATCATCTCTCTGGAAAGACTTGCGGTGGCCCAGTGTACTCACTGCAGAGGCCAGCCAGCAAAACACTGCAGGTTTCCTTAACAAGGCCTATTTTATCCCAGTAACCCACTCGTCATTTCAAATGTTTCCTCTTGTGCATGCTTCTGTAATGCTTGCTGTGATTTGCATCTGAATTCCAAATGCTTTTTCCCTCTTCTTCTTTTTTTTTTTTTTTTTTTTTTGCCTCCTTCTGCCTTTTCTTCTCTGGCTGCTCCTGCAATAGTACATTGTGTTTGAGGCTGGACATGAACCAATCCGTGATCCTGAAACAGAAGAAAACATTTACCAGGTATCAGATCCTTTCTTCTTCCTATGCCCCTTCCACCAGCAAATGCTAGCATACTGATGGTCTCAAGAAGCCAGGGTCATGTGTTCATATAGGATTGTGTGATGCCTTTGACTACAATGACTTCTGGCTCCCAGCAATTTTTTGGTAGTTTCTACACCTCCATGTTGAAATCTTTAATGGCCAGTTGGGCACAGTGTTTTAATCTGGGATGGATAATGGGTGTTTTAAATAGCATACAACCCAAGCATTTTATTGTACTGATATAATACCCTTGAAAATTGCAATCTACCAAGTAGAAGGGTCTTTCACTTCTCAAAGGAATGCATGTATTCAGTTTGGTTAAAAACCCAACCTCCCTCCTGTAAGTAAGGGACAGATTTGAAAATACTATATATGAAAACAGCATTGGGAGTATGGGTGGAATAAAAGAAAGTCCAGCTGAAGGCTTTATCCTTCCTGATGTGGAAGCAAATTAATATTCATAACTGTGAAGAACACTTAAAACATTTTAAAACCCATTGAACTCTTACAAATATATGATAAAATGGCCATTTTAATCCTGGGGATTTTTGCGGGTCAGGGGCCAGTTGAGCAGATTCCTCAGGGTTACACAGCTACTTAGAGCCAAGACTGAAATCAGACACAAGTTTAGGCCAAGCCCAAGCTTCCTCAGGAATCCCATCAAAGTGCTTGGGTCTTGGGTCACAGTAACATGATCTAGTGGCACATCAAGTAAATATGATAATTTTCACTAATGAGAACCTTAGTCTTCATTTAAAGCATAAGTACTATGGGAGAAGGAGCGATTTGATGTATTTAGTTAATCAGTGGTTTTAATTTACTTAGTTGTGTGTTCTATTATTCAGCCTTGGGCATGTGTTAATTGTGAAATCAAAATAAAATGTATTTTCAATTTCTATCAAATGTGTGGAATTCTAAATGAGCAAGCCCAACGCTGCTTCTCCCAACAACTCAGTTAAAATTGGCCTTGTAGACAATCATTTATTTATGCCCTCCTGGGTCCATCCAGACTCTTACCACTGAGCTTCAAAGAACATCTGTTCAAAATGCATCCCTTACAAAGCTTCTGTCTTTAGAAAGAAAAGTTGCAGTTGTCCCCAGTGCCAGATCTACAGCCCTGTACCACACTGCAGTGTCTGCACATTGAGACATTAACTTGCCCTCCCAGGAAGAGGGAGCACGTTTGCTCTAGGAGAGGCCCTTGAATCCAGCTGAGCTGCAGTAGCACAGCAACTGGGGACAGCAGAGTACCTGCAAGTGCTGGAAGGAGCTGCCTTGGGCTGAGGCAGAGCTGGGGTCCAGTTTGGTCCTTCTCACCAGCTACCTTTGGGTCATGGTTGGATGGCAAGGCACTTACTGTCTTTCAGATTCCCTTTCTCCAATTATAAAGTAGGGGCCCCCACCCCCATCAGGGTGAGACTGAAACAAGCTTGTGTGGGGTTATAGAGTGATGAAGCAGCATCCTGAGACATGAATATCCATGTGGATCCAGATCTTAGTACAAGTTACCTGCTCCAGCCGTGATTTAAATAGTAGATTTCCTTCCTGTCTCTGGGCATCAGTTTACCCACCTGTAAAATGAGTAAATAGGATTCATAGATCTCTCTGAGTGGGGTCTTTCCTGTTGTCTGTAACACACACCTTACAAGAATCCTGCTGACTTGTTTTATAGGCAGCAAGGCCCTTAGAAACAGGACATGTGTGCTCACTGATGTCCCCCCACATAGGGGTCTACATGCAACACCTTTCATCTCTCACAATACCCACAATGGCTGGAGTCATTTTTCCCACCTTACAGACAAGGGGAGTGAAGCTTCTGGGGACCAGGGATCTTGCTGGAGTCACAGAGCCTGTGAGATAGCATCTCTAAGGCAGGTCTCTCTAACCTCTGTAAAAACACCTCAGTCCTGTAGCTCTTTAAAGATCATTGTTATTTGGCTCTGAGTTACCCCATTAGATTTTGTATTTTAAGTCACTATCTAAAAGACCACACTTGTTTTAACACCACTGGCCTCCTGATCTTCCTATCTGTCAATCATTACCAGGAAGGCATGGTTTACGAGAGTGAATATTTTATCCCATCTATTGGAAAGGCTGTGGCCATGTTCCTCTCCTGTAATACAGGTCCACCCTTGTGGACCTTGTGTCACCCAACACAACCTTGAATGCCTCTCCATACATAATTAACACACTGCTGGGTTCAGTGCACTTAACAGGAGACAGGCCCTTGGCCTATAGATCACCAGGCTATCAAGGCACTGCCATTAGAAAGCCTGTTTTGATTTTTTTTTCTTTTTTAGTGCTGGCAGATTCTACATAGCTAGTACTGTTGTATACATCTTCCTGTTTATACTACCTTAATTCAAGGTGGCCTTATTTTATATCAGCCTATTTTTCTAGGAGGCACACAGACCTGAGGCCTGGTAGCCTTTCGGTGTTTTTTGCCTTTGGATGTTATACATAATTTTTGCCTTTCAACTTCCTGGGATGTAACTGGGGTGAGTCCAGTGTTAACTCCTGGGAAACTATAATGGCATGGTATACCTGGCCCAGAGAAGCTTCTGTGAAGACATCTCTTCCTTTTACTAGTGCATCATTGGCATCATTGGGTACCACTTTTGATGATGCTGTACTAACAGCACGTTTTGTTGGAGAGCCCTGCAGAAAGCTGCAGCCCTGCTCTGCTACTTGTACCCAGCATGAGGATGAAGAGGCTCTAAGGCACCTGAGACATCTTTCCAAGGAGGAGTTACATGTCTGAAACTGTGTTGATATTCATAATTGTGTCATGTGCCTCGGTAAACATGATCAGTCCTCTTTAACACAACACAGGGCATATTTCAACATGACTGTGACCTTCCTGTCACAGGTCAGCTAAAAAAAAAGCTCCCAAGGCTGTCATTTTCAGCATAAGGGACACAGGGTACCAAGATCAAGGGCTGTATTTTCAGTCCTGACCTGGAGTACCTTAACAAGGTATTACTCCACTTTCCAAGTGGATACTTTTCGAATTCATTTGTTCAGAACTCACTGTGAGTCTCCCCACATGTTAATTATCCATTTAAAATGGTAAAGCTGGCCTTGTGTCACCCAACACACCCTTGAATAGCCTCTCCATACGTCATTACCACACTGCTAACATGAATGTGCTCTCATGTCCATCACTTCAGGTGTAGTTCTTAGATTAATTTAAGATCTATTCAACTTGTTTATTCAGAAGTGTATCTTTGGGCACCTAAGTATCGGCTATCACCTGGGAAAATAATAGTGACCACTGCAAGGCCCCTGCCCTCAAGTTTATAAATAATCCCTTAGATTGTCATGTCAGCTAATTAAGGAAGCCGAGGCTCAGAGAGCAGCGTGACTCCTCTAAGTCACACAGCCTGTACCTGGTACTGGATTAGGAACCAGATCTTCACATTCCTCCTGGTCTAAAAGTTTTAACACTCTTCATCACTGTGGTACTACAGTGGTCCCTGTAGTTGGAACAGACAACCTGTGCAGAGGTGACAGAGCCACAGACCTTAGCCCTCACCTGTGAACGTTTGAAGAGACATGTCTTCTTTAACATTTACAGATAAAAGTCCAAGATTAATCGAGCTTGTGCCATAGCAAGTTTACAGAGCTGTGGTACTCCAGACTCACAGACAGCTTATGCTATCATATTTGCCATGAATAGAAAGTTCCTTTTCACACCCTGCATTAGTAGCCTGTGTATAGTCCCATCTCTTTCTACACAAGAATCTCTGCTGACTCAGGGCCGTATCTGCCATTCTCACTGTCCAGTAAAGGCACACTCCCTGCCATATAACAGGTGCTTGGGAACTTTTTTTTCATAAAAGGATGCACCTGAGATAGAAAACAAAGCAAAGGAACAGAAACCTCCAAACCAGGTCTGTAGAGGCAGGCAGGAGTTGTGAGAAGATGTCCCAGCTGAGATAAATCTTAAAGGACAAACAAGCAGATTGATATCTCACCCATGGGAGAGCCAAGGAGAAAAGCGTTTTCAATTATGCACAGTTTGGGTTTCTCCATCGCATGGCTTGTTCTCCATTTGCAGGGATAATTGAGAAGCAGCCGCGGTTCAACTGTGCTAAGTGCCCGTAGTGAGCAGTGAATTACAGGCAACAGAACACTCTTCATTCCACTCAGTAAAGGGTGAGCTAGTGAAAACAAAAGTGAGGGCTGGTAATTTATTGGCCCTCGTTAACAAGGACACTGTAGACATTCAGGGAGGGTTCCTTCTAAATGGAGCTCAGTTATCAGGACCAAAGAAATTACATTCCTCACTGAATACCTGCAAACTGGGGTTCTGGAAGGGCATCTTCCACCTGGCCTTGCTCAGTCATAGTTCTGTTTTCTGCAAAGATGTAATGGGCCTCTGGGAATGCAGGGGGGGGGGGGGGCGGTTTTTTTTTGTTTTTTAAAGCGAAAGGTAGAGATGGGGCGGGGGGAATGCTGGGGGGGGGGGTGGCTGTTTTGTTTTTGTTTTTTAAAGGATGAGATGCACCTGAGCTGCACCTGAAGCAGCTACCCAAACAGTGTAGCAATAAATAGTGAACAGCCTGTGCTGCAGTGCCTAGCTGCCCAACTCCTAGTGCTAGACTCTCTCCAGGCTTGATCTTCTCCCTCTACATCACACGGAGGGATGGCTATAGTTCTAAGACTTATCCTGGTTATTACATCACTATTTATTGATAATGTTTCCAGTCCTGCCAGCTCATGGGGCATGCCTAGTACAATGTTAACTCATTGTATTAAGAAAAAAGTCTTATTTTTGGTACCCAGAAAGATCTGGATTTGAACACAGCCAGGTCTGAAGTTTGGGGCAAAGTCCATAACATGTCTGAGCCTCACTTTCTGTAGATTGAAAGTAGGGTTGGCATCGGGAGTTTAAGTTAAATGAAGGTAAAAATAAGAGAATTCAAAGGGTCGCTTCAGGTTCTTACTGACATGGAGAGAATAGCTGGCTGATCCCTGCATGGCAAGTGCTTCTTTTCTCCAGTTTCCCCCACACTGCTCTACGAAAGATTTACCCAGCAGGTATTCATAGGGGGCCTTCTGGTTGTGACACACTATCTGTTCCTGAGGTTGCATCCAGCTTGCTGGGAAGACTGCCCCACTGTCAGGATGTTATAAATCTACTGCTGTTTGGTCTCTGCAGTGGAGAGCAAAGCAGGCAGTCCGGGGGTGGGGAGGAGCGGTTAATGAGTGCTTCCAATCTGGAATGTTTCAGTGCAGAGCCCTTGATTGACACATTAGAGAAGCATTCAGCACTATTAATATCGAAAAATGTGTTCATATACATATGTAGATGATGTATGTGTGACAAAGGGAAATCATCCTTCTAGCGTAGTGCAGAATCGTGGGGCTTATCTGTATCCAGTTTCTCACTTACCATAACCTGAGTGAGATGCGTTGCTGAGCAGGCCCACTGAGAGCAGCAAAGCCAGAGGAGCTTCATGGCCTGTTCAGGGTGTTGTAGGCAACAAGTAGCCCCAGGCGGCCAGAAGCATGAGCAGCAGAAGGAAGAGAAAGGAGATTGTAAGGGATGGCAGATCAACCAGGAACTTCTGGATCCTGGAGTCTTACTTCCTCCATCGTGTGGGCCCTTTCTGTGATTATCATGTGACTTGTGTGGGACCCCAGGAGGAGGCTGACAGGTACTAGGGACCTGAGTTTTGCTAACACATATGTCTTAGCACAGAGACATACATGCTCAACCACAAACTGTTTCTAACTTCTTCAGGGGAAAGCACAGCACCTGGACCTCTTTATGATTAACCAAATTCAGTTGGACTCCATTGTTTTATTTCTGCCATGTGATGATTGCCATCTCCACGGCTGTTCTTTTACTCTGGGAAAGGCTCAAGAGCAGACATTTGTTCTAAAATGCTACCCATGTCCTAACTGATTTTTCCTTGGGGGAAGGAACCTGGCTTGAGTTCTTTATAGCTAAAGCCACCCCTTGGGGCTGAGTGCTGGACCTGTCTTAGGAGCCATCACACAGACAGTCAAACTTGCAGAGACATCTGACTGCTTTGTTCTTTCAAAGTGGAACACCAAGCCAGGTGGTGGTGTCACACACCTTTAATCCCAGCACTCTGGAGGCAGAGACAGGTGGATCTCTGTGAGTTCGAGGCCAACCTGGTTTACAGAGTGAGTTCCAGGACAGGCAGCGCTGTGGCACAGAGGAAAAGAAAGAAAGTGAAACACTAATGCTTTAACTGTTGATTTTGATGTCTCTATAGGTTCCCACCAGCCAGAAGAAGGAAGGTGTTTATGATGTGCCAAAAAGTCAACCTGTAAGTGTAAGTACATCTGCCTCGGTGGCCAGATTCATGCGGAGACTGTCACTGGTGCGAAAGCCTTTTTCTGGTCTAAGTGTCACATATGGTTCCTCATGGGTATAAAAACAGAGACCTGAGGGAAGAAAGGGACTATTGAGTAAAAGCCATTCACAGCAAAGGGCTGTTCTGTGAATGGATGCCTGGGGTTGGATAATGCAAACAGTTCTGCCTGAGGGACTCAGCATCCCACATGTTCCAGGACATAGGTCTCCAACCAAAGATTTACTGTACATGGTCAAATACAGGGCACTGTCATTTTCTTCTACCCGTCCCATCTGAAAGTCATTGAGAAGTTCCTTTTTCAAAGGAACATTGAAAGGGCTGGCCAGGACCTTTGAGGTGTGTTAAGGATTCATCTATCCCATTAGCAGGGTCTAAGAGAAAAGGCCATGTATAGCATGCTTGCAGAGATACTAGCAGTACCACAGTGAGGACAGCAATGCCCAGTGCATCTGGACCCCATCTGCTGGAGGGACTCCTAGGGATCTGAGCCAGAAAGGAAAACGGAGCTCTATCGTGGCACTGAAAGCACCCTCTTACTCCTAGTGCCTACACTGAGAACTGGCCTACTCTTCAGGTTTCGATTGGTCCAGCCCCATTACACAGTTTCCTTCAGTTCAATTTGTGCCTGGATAGACTCACTTGCCCCTGACAGGTTTAGATATGCGAGGAAACATGCTCTATTTGCTGCCCTAGTTTTTCTGATTTTATTAGCCATTCTGGTCACACCCTCTCCAAGCTTAATAGCTCCAAGGGGAAAAAAACCTAAGCCTCTTAACCTAGCAGACAGGCTGTCTAAGGGCTTTGTCAGCTCACAGGAACCCTTGCCCCCCTTCTGGCCCAGCCCTCTAAACCCTGCTTCTCCCTGCTCTGTCTGCTGCCTGATGTCGCTACATCAAGTTATCAGGGAGACTTTTGGGGTTTCTGCTCTGAAGGTCAGTCACAGATCGTCCCTATCTTTGTAGCCCTGTAACAATTATTCCCCTGTGAACAGCTCATCTTTCCTCATCATTACCAAGAGTGAGCCCTTGTAGCTGCAGGACAAGAAGGAAACAACAAGTTTAGGAATATTTAATGAATATACACTTGACTACCCAAATGAAGGATAGGGATTCTTCCACTTAAAGGGGATTCCCTATTTTTAGGAACCCTAAAAGGTCATTACCTAAAGACACTAGAAATTTTGCTTGGGGAACACCTGACTGCATGAATGGATTGCATTAGCTGCCCATTCTCTGTTCCCTGAGCCCTAGACCTACCCAGTGTGTTAACAAATTTCCACACTTTCAAAGGCCTGAGAGAAGCAGGAGGCACAAGGCTCAGACTGTAGCTTGCAAACATGAACACTAGTGGATCCTGCTCCTGCCCACCCCCATGAGCCTTGGTGGAGTTTCTCTATCCCTTGGTCCAAGGTTTGTCATCTACACAAAGCAGTTACTGAATTGAGAAAATAGTATTGTTGAAAAGTTCATCTCCTTTCTATGGTCACCTTGGCTGCCCCATTTCTCCTGTCCTTATTCAGAAAGAGAAAAGACACAGAGAAGGGGAACCCTGTTTGTGCATGTTAGGTAGCTGCCAGGGAGCTGTGGAGCTCCTACACATTTCCCACAGGAAGGCAAACTGCCTGGTGACCTGTCACTCTAAGTTCCCCACTAGTTTCCTCTGCCTTGGGTCCATATCTACACAGAGCCCAGGTGAGAGAATCAACCTGGTGTTTTCCTTTAGGAAACTGACCATCAGCCACAAAGGACTAGCCTGATTTGCCAGTATAAGGCTTAGGTGTAATGTCATCAGTGGACACTTACTGGGGAGGTCTCTGAGTAACCCATTGTCTCTCAAAGGCTCTGTGTCATTATCTGTTAAAAGCAGGTACTGCCTACCTTTTATCTTTGCAAGACTGAAAGAAACATCTTGGGAAAATCCTTAACAGAGGATGTAAATTTCATTAAATGAGGTTGTTTCTGTGTGTTGCTGTAACAAGCAGTGCTTGAGCTAGCAGTTTTGACTGATCTGGCATGGCCAGCTTCTCAAATTGAGCATGCACCTCCTTTTGGAAGCCTTCTTTACCCCAAACAAGATGATTTATCTTTCTGTGGGCTCTGGTGCTTCCCTTTGCAATGATAATGGTGAATGTTACTTTTCCCTCAATATGTCTACATGAGCCATTGGATTTTGTGTTCCCCCAAAATGTTCAGTGAAATCATAGCTCTTGAAGTTCATCCCTGTCTCTAAAATTTAGCTGTCTTTGAACACAGAGGTACTGCCCCAATGTTGTGAGATAGAACTTGCTTTGAGTTCTGGCTTCATTAATGGCTTTGTGACCTTGGGTGGGTCATTTTCTCTGTTCAGTCTTTAATCTTCTTATGTTTGTAATGGTGGTAGGAAACCATAACCATTGGATTCTAAGAGTTTATATTAGTCACTTAGTATACAGTATCTATTGGTAGAACTGAATAAATTTGCTTTAAATTGTTTACCAGGAGTTGCTACTTTCCCTTTGTACCTTCCTTACTGTCTGCCAAGGACAGAAAGTATGCCTCCTCTGTGACCTGATTACAAGGGAGTATTGGCACCGAATAGCTGCACTGAAAGTGCATAATTGAGTGTGAGTGAACAAAACTGAAAATTGAATGACTTTGTAAAGATTATATGTCTTTGGACCCAAAGCTTATGTCTTAAGTTCTTTTACTTCTTGGAGAACCATGTCAAATGGAGATAGTGTTTGCTGTCATAGCTGCCCCTTGCCCAGCCCCTCTCTGAACTTTGCCTTCAACAACTCGAATCCCTATTCTGCTTCCAACCTTCATAAATATGCATGTTTTTTCTTCATAGCTTGGATCACCAAGCTGACAGATGGCCTTCTAAACACACACACACACACACACACACACACACACACACACACACACACACACATGCACCACTCTCCTCCCTCATCAGCAGCTCCCCAGCAGTCAAAGCCAAAACATTTTGCTGACTTGGCAAAGTTATTTTGGGGCTGTTTTATGTTTTGCTGTCTAGGGATAGGTCCCAAGCTGGAGCCCCTTGGAAACTGTTTAAGAGTCATTGCAGTGCTTAAGGTTTTCTGAAGAGAAACCAGTACACGATAACATAGTGAGGACATGGTCTGACAGAATTAACAATTTGCATAGGCTTTCTTCCCAGAACCCCTTAGAGCCATTTATATGTCACAAAGAAGGCTAGAGAAAGGATGAGGGTTCATCAATTTTACTACATACTCGCCTGAAGACCACTATAATTCTTGCATTTTAAGAGCATATCAATATATCTCATACCTAGTTATAGATCTTCTAAAATTAAGGATAGCAATTACATGGTTTAATTTTAAACCACATTGTGCTGCAGACTTTGCTTCAGAAAATTAGAAGTTTCTATGAACAAGATAAAAGGAGACAAGTGGATCTTACACTCCAACCAGTCTTTTACCTGCTCCCCAAGGTGCACCTTGAAGTTTGCCTGTCTTCTCAACAGAGCAAAGAAAGCTAGCATACATTTCCAAGCTGGTGTTTCAGGGAGCACTGACCAATGAGATGTTCATCAGTGATTCCAAAAATTAAAGCACTAAAGTTTTCAGGTGTTTAATGCATTTAAAAATTCATTAACTATAAATGTTAATATGTATTTACATATGAATATGCAATGGGAATATATTTTGAGTTATGAATATATATTACATAAATTGAGTACATCTCAATTTTCTTTGACCTAAATACTCTTTTTAATGCAACCCCAAATACATCTCAAGCAGAAAGTCATTCCATCAAAGACCTAACTGGGACAAGAGGCATGGAAGACAACAATTCATGCACAAAAAGATCTACTCCCAAAACTCAGGTTGAACAGCAGTGCTGTTCTTCACTGCTTACAGGTCTGTGAGTAGGCAGTGTGGTTCTGCTGCTGTCTGCCTTTCCCAGAGTTCCTTGACTTACGTGTCTCTGGTTACCTGTGGGTCGGGAGACAGTTGTACCCACACCTGCTGAGCCAGCTCACAGATTGGGGATTTGGTTAGCTGTGGTCTAGGACAGCCTTAGGAAAGTCAACAGGATTCTCTTCCCTGTAGTGTCTCCTCCTCCAGCAGGTTTATCAGGTCACAGTCTCCTCGTGGTGGCATGGCTTCTGGAGTGTGAATAGAGGCACGTAGAACTTGTAAGACTAAGGCATTCTTCAGCCAAAATAATCCAAGTCTCTCCTAGATTCAAGTTTAGAAAACAAACTCTACATTCTGGTGGAAATTGTAGTTTTACAGCAAACGATCTAGAATATATGGAATGAATGGGGGTGTCTCTCATGCAGTCTATTTATTGTAGTTGTCATGTGAAATCACTCCTGAATTATAGTAATCATGTTGAAAGATACTTTCTTCTTTGATTCCGGTTTCTTTTCATGTTGCCTTGCCTGTATTTTGTCCTTATCTCAGGTGATTTCTGACTTACACACTCTGTAGGACAGCCCATTGAGTACCCTAGTTTCCTAACCCCAGAACCCTCAGCCATTGACCCTCTGCACCTGGAGATGCCTCAGAGAGCAGACATGCTCACACCACAACCCTCAGCCATTGACCCTCTGCACCTGGAGATGCCTCAGAGAGCAGACCCTCAGGTGCCCTCCTTTCTCTCACCACAAAACTCTCCACCGTCTCTTCACACCTCACTATTCTTGCTAAAAACACTCCTGCTTCAACATTCAAGATTCAGTTAAAATATTTCCTCTGCATCTTTCCTGGAATCCCTAAGGAACTTGCAGTTTTGAATTCACTTCTGTGGAACTCCTAATGATGTTTTATCATTGGCAGAAAGCAGCATTCTCCAGTGACTGGAAGTATGGGCTTTGTGATCAGAGGCCCTTGGATCTGAGTTCAGCCTCACCATTCCCTGGCTTTGTGACTTTGGCTGCTGTATTAGCTTTTCTAAGTCTCTATTTGTTCATCAGAAAATGAAGCT